CAAGGAGGCAAGGAAAGGCCAGACCCTTGGGCTGCCAACTTTCTATGGATCCCCCAAAGATTGGGGATTGTATCTCCAAATAGGGAGATTCGGCCAGAGGGGTCTCAGTGTCCCTCTAAAAAGGCAGTGACAATTCAGTGAGTGGTGGCAGCAAACTTAAAGAGTGAGATATGCCCACAGGACAAAGGTGGAAGGCGAACAGCTGAGTTGTAAACTGGAGCCCGTTTCGCCACAGTGGGCAACGAAGCTTGGTTCAGACAAAGGAAGAAAACCCTTCGCAGGCCTTTGTGAGGAACTCATTGGGGCCAGTCTGGCTAGGGTTGCCAGTTCCAGGTAGGGAAATTCCTGGAGATTTTCTGGTACAGTCTATGGAAGCCAGGGTTTGGGGAAGGGAGAGGCCTCAGCTGAACAGAATGCCATAAAGCCCACTTTCCAAAGCAGTTATTTTCTCCGGTGGTGGTGGGGGGAGATCTGTTGTCTGGAGTTCAGTTGTGATACCTGGTGATATTCAGGCTCCACCTGGAGGTTGGCTACCCTAAGCATAGCCATCAGTGCTTCAGAACAGGGTCTCTGAGTTCCAGGTTCTTGCTGTAGAAGCTGAGTGGGTGATTTTGGACCAGTCACAGACTTTCAGCCTAACCTACCTCACGGGGTTGTTGTGCAAGTCAAAAGGGGGAGAGGAGAATGATGTTATCTGCTTTGGTCCCCACTGCAGAGAAAGACTAACTTTCCTCCTGGAAAACCATTGTTGCCAATCTCCAGGTGAGGGCTGGAGATCACTCAGAATTACAACTGCTCTCCAGATGGCAGAGATCAGTTCCCCTGGAGAAAATGGTGGACTCTGTGTCCTTATACCGTGCTGAGATGGGCCCCCCATGACAGCCAAGGTTCTGTGGCAGTCAGGGCTTCAGAGCACAGTGGGGGCTGCTGGTGGGGGGGGGGAATGGACAGCTGATCAGTGAGAGGGAAGGTAGGTTGGTGCTTGGCTGGGAAGGAGATAGGGTTGCCAACTCCAGGTGGGAAATTCCTGGATATTTGAGAGATGGAGCCTGGAGAGGGTGAGCCCCGGCCAATGACGATGCCTCGAGTGCGAGAGGCAGGTCCAACAGGCTGGCCAGCTTGACCCACCAGTGCCTCGACCATGCGGCATGGGCCCATTCTGACAGCCTTGGACTCAGGTGACCGGGGGGGAAGGGGGCCGGAGGCCTGCGGCCGGACTAGCACCCGTTGTCTTCATTCCTACAACGGGCCTGATTCCTAGTCTATATATATATAAAAGAAAGTCCCTTCACCATAAAAATCAAGGCCCAGGCCAAACCGCTGGACCTAGAAACACCAAATTTGGGGAGAACGCTCCTACCATGATGTAGATGCTCGCTAAGAGGGGATTTTAAGAAATTCGACCCCTAAGTGGGTCAAAAGGGGTAAAATGTGCTCCCCCCATTGATTCCTATGTGGCTGCCAGGCTAATGCCTCCTTGCACACCCCACTCTCTCATTGGTCAGCTGCAGAGCTCAGTGTTCTCAGGTAATAAAAGCCAACAGTTACAGGGGTCTGCAGACAGCTAATGACAGTTGAGGAAATCAGGAACGGCCAACAATCACCTGTGAGGTGCAGTAATGCTGCTAGCCCAGCCTCTCTGATGGCTTCCAACACACACACCCTCCACCTCCTACACCTAACAGGCGAGTTGTCTGTCAGGTGCAGCAGCGGGTGCAGGGTGCTTAAAGCCATGAGGGAGCCCGCCTCAGCAGTAACGCCTTAGTGATCCTGCTGGTCGAGCCTCCACAGTGGCTTCTGATACTCATCCCCCCTCCCCCTCCTACACTGGACAGGCAGGGGGCAGGAGGCGGAAACTTAGGAATGTGACAAAGACATTTGCACATAGTACTCCTGCGAGGCACTGAGTTGCACAGGCCAAGTACTAGCAAGAGCACCCTGAGGTGCTCAGAACAATACAGTCTCCATATCAGCAAAACAATCCAGGACCACAAGTAGAGAGGCCATCACTTTTGAGGAAGGTGGCAGGAATTGACTTAACAGATGACTGCTTCTTAAATGGACAGTTCTATGTGGCCTGCTCCAGAGTGAGCTCATCAAGCAGCCTGGTGATCCTAGCACCTGAGGGCAGAACCACCAATGTGGTCTACAGAGAGGTCCTTCGGGAGAGAAAAAGAAAGTACGTATGTCTCTCTTCATTTTTTACACTACAGGCTTCTCCACTAGAATTCCTACAAGAAATGTCACATTTCTTTTAAAAAAAAATTATTTATTTATAAGTTTTTGGATTGTATACATTACAACCAAAGTAAACAATCTTATTTCCAACATGTTGTGAGTCTATTAACACATGTTGTTATTTATCCATGTATACACTCTTATCCATCTGTTAGTATAAACCTCTTCATCTTTCCTTTGCATTAACACAAATAGTCTGTCCATTTTGGCCATTTCCAACAGTCTCATCAGTATTTCCTCTCTTGAAGGGGTTCTATCTAGCTTCCAATACTTTGCGAATAATATTCTGGCAGTTGTTAGAATATAACATATTAAGTAACAGTCCTCTTTCTTACAATTATCTGGTATAATATTTAACAAGATTTAATTATCTGGTCAGCTCTTCTCCCACCACCATGTCTCCTTCTATTCCTATGCCTTTCTAACCAATGCAGTATTTTCCCCATGTGTATACACACACCCCTCTCCAAGTACTGTGGATAGATATTCCGTGCCTTCTTCAAAATACCCCCAACAGCCAAAGGACTGACACAATTAGCTGCCTTCCTATACTCTAGCATACAGGACAGGCAATTGTAATAGCAGATGAGAAGGTTAAACCCAGGCTCACTTGTCGCTAAGCCTCTTTCAGGACTATCCCCTTTATTCTGAACTGCCTCTGCAGACTCTGAAGCTTCCAGAGATTCTGAAGCAAAGGCACACATGAAATGTTATGAGCCACATAAGTCTCCAGTATTATTCAATTCCACTCATGAAGGGAAGCAGCCCAAAGTGAACAGTCTGTGTGATGGGAATAGAGGAGGCTGATTAGCTTTCCAACCAGTAATGAGAGTTAATCTCTTGGAAGTGACTCTCTGTCCATAAACAGCAATTACAGCTGGTCACAGTCTTTCCAGGAATGTTTGAAGAATGACTCAGGATCAGGAAAATGAATGAGCCACAGTCATCCAGTTGCCATGTGCCCCTCTTGAGCAGAGCTGCAAAGTCTAGATTTGGATTGAAAGTTCTCCCAAGTGTCTTGAGTTTATTTAGACAGAAGATCCCAAACCAGTTTGTCTCATTAGAAACAGACTGTGCCAAACAAGATCTGAATTAGAACTGAGCTACAGCTGCTGGTAGAAGAGCTTAATTAACTGTAAAAGGAAGGAATCTCAGTCTGCCTTTTTTCTTCATTTCCTATTTATATTGAAGGATCAAAGCTGCATTTCTGCACATTTCATGTTAACAATTGGGACTTCATGCCAGGACTTCAAAAATAATTGGTTTAGCTTTTAAAAGAGCTTGTGAGGAATTATTGTTCCCTGTTCTTAAAATAGGGGGACCGTAACAGCCAGGCCAGCCTGAGGGCACAAGAGACCAGCGTTGGTTAGCCCTGTAGCCCAATCAGGAAGTGGTCCACGATTCTGTTCATGCACGTTTGGAAAAGTGGCACATAGAAAACTCTCCACTTCCTTGCCACAGCCTTATAGACAAACTAAGCTGCTGCGCTGCCACAGGCCTCCTCTCTAGTTCTATACAGCCTGGGAAGAAGAGTGAGTCTGCTGTTCAATGGGCTCTGATGAGCTCCAGAGCATCAATGGGCTCTGATGAGTTCCTGGAATGTGTCACAGTCTCCTGCCAGGACAGGAGCTAAAACTGCACTGTTACTCCCTTTGCACAGTGCATTTTGTCATTATCTCCTCTTCATGGGTCCCAGCTGCTTTCCATGTGCCTTTTGTCTCCTCATTCACAGTGTTGGCAGTAGCCTTTTCTCCCTTTATAGCATTGAAGTACTGGGAGAAGCTTACCTGCCCCTCCACAGCATACGGATTTTCCTCAACTCTTCCCATCCTACTCATGTCTCAATCCTTTACTTCTCTCTCACACACACTCACTCTATATAATGTGAACATCTAACAAAAGGCTATGTCACTTCTGTGTCCTGTAGGGTGCCTTGAATTGTTGGTATTAAACAAACAGTTTGGGTCCTGGGATTCTGGTCTGAGCTCACACACACTCACTCTATATAATGTGAACATCTAACAAAAGGCTATGTCACTTCTGTGTCCTGTAGGGTGCCTTGAATTGTTGGTACTAAACAAACAGTTTGTGTCATGCCTGCCCCTGCTGATGTGAGTATTTATTTCACTAGATCTGAAGTCAATGTGATCTTTTTCTTTAAGGGGGGGGACTTGTAGGCCAAAGTTTGTTTGGGGAAGAGAAGCTGTCCTCTGAGTATGTTATCTCTCCTTATATATAATTGAATAGTGGGTGCCAAAGTTCTAATTCTAAAATGCACTCCCTTAGTGTATGGCTGATGGCACTGCTCCTCAGCATATATCGCCACCAATCAGAAGGCAAAGCCCGGGTCCCGCCCACACCACAACTGCTGCGACAACCTGGTCTTTTGCATATGGAAGCTGATTGGACTTCACTCCATTCCACACCTCAAACCCCCCCCCCCCGCAAGGCAGTTGGAATTTTCAGTTGCATAACATACCTCATAGGGGAGAGGAGAATGGGTAACAATGGTTACCACTCTCCAGGTGAGGGCTACAGATAACTCAAACATACAAATGCTCTTCAGGTAGCACAGATCAGTCCCTCTGGAGAAAACAGTGGACTCTGTCATTAAACCCTGCTGAGGTCGCCACAGGAAACTGACACTGTTTGCCCAAAGCCAGAGCACTCTCCCAGAGCCTCTTTCTAGATCCCGTTGTATTTATTTCTGCAACGGGCCTTATTTCTACTTTGTGATAATTCAGGGTACAAGATGAAGCATGATGGGGTAAACAGAGTGAATTTTGGCAACAAAGGTTATCTCCTTCCCTTCCCTTGCCCACACAAACTGGGGCAATTGCTATACTTTTGGACCTACTCCTACTTTGAGAAGCACCTCCAACCACTGCCCAAATCACTTGTTTATACCAGCCTGCCCATCTCTTATCTTGGCACAGAATGCTATATAACTGAAATGGAGACTGAACATGAAATGTCATAACTTACTTTCTGAGGCAGAATGACACTATTGTGCACAGCACATAATAGAAGCCAGCCTTTCAAAAGCCAAGCAGCCCCGTTAGCACTCTTGCCAAGTACATAAATGACATCTCCATTACGTGTGCCCCTTGAAAACTTTATCCTAGGAGGAAGGGAGTGGAGTACATTTTTTTTCCTTTGGTGCCTAAACTAATTTATCACTGTCAAATGCATGGCATAGTCACGGTATATATATATTATTAAAATAGAAAGACTACTACTACTGAACCTGGGCTTCATTCCCTTGTTACTGTCAAAATGGGTGATATATTCGGATCTCTGCATTACAACATCCAGACAATTTCCCTCCAAAAGCTGCCCTAAAGTTTCAGTGAAAAGCAGGAACATTTTAGTTAAGACTCACCAAACCTAAATGTAAATTTGGATCCAACTAGCTATTTGTCAGGAAGACTGGAAGGGCTGCAAGCCCAACTTCTCAATGCACTGCTGCTCTTTGATGCTGAGCTGAAGCATACTGAAGACAGAATCCAGAACCAAACAAAGGTTAGTGAAGAAGAGGGCCAATATTAAAACCTATCTAATAAAAGTGGAAAAAGATACATGTATTAATTAATAACAAATTTAAAAACATATACAGGGGCCCATTTACAACAATTATATATAAAACATTACAATACCAAGGGCTTAAAAGCTTGACCTTACGCGTTTCGGCCAAATAGGCCTTCCTCAGAGGTCATATATATGTGGCAAAATGGCTAATACATATATTCACATACACACAATCAAGAATATATACAAAGTATAAATTCAATAAGGACCATAAAGTAAATTGTTCAAAAATAAAATCACCAGGCACAGGGTCAATATGCACATAAGGCCTTTAAAGTGCTATCACTAGCCCAGTGATTATGAAGTAGACCTAAGGAAAAAAAATGAGAATCAATATATCAAAGAATTTAAAAATGTTCGTTGCATCGATGACATTGTCTAACCATCTCATCCTTTGCCATCCCCGTCTTCTTTGGCCTTCAATCTTTCCCAGCATCAGGGTCTTTTCCAGTGAGTGCTCCCTTCTCATTTGGTGGCCAAAGTATTTGAGCTTCATTTTCATTATCTGGCCTTCCAGGGAACAGTCAGGGTTGATTTCTTTTAGGATTGACTGATTTGATCTCCTTGCAGTCCAAGGGACTCTCAAGAGTCTTCTCCAGCACCATAGTTCAAAAGAATCTATTCTTCGGTGCTCAGCGTTCCTTACGGTTCAACTCTTGCAGCCATATATTACTACTGGGAATGCCATCTCTTTCACTATATGGACTTTTGTTAGCAGGGTGATGTCTCTACTTTTTTTTATGCTTTCTAGGCATCTTTTAATTTCATGGCTGCAGTCACCATCTACAATGATTTTGGATCTGAGGAACGTGAATTCTGTCACTGCTTGCAAGACTTCCCCTTCTATTTGCCAAGGTGTGATGGGGCCGGATGCCATGATCTTAGTTTTTTTGATGTTGAGCTTCAAGCCCACTTTTGCGCTCTCCTCTTTTACCCTGAGCAAGAGGCTCTTTAGGTCCTCTTCACTTTCTGCCATTAGAGTGGTATCATCTGCATATCTGAGGTTGTTGATCTTTTCCCCAGCAATCTTAATTCCGGCTTCTGATTCATCCAGGCCGGCATTTCGCATGATGTACTCTGCATATAAATTAAAAAAGCAGGGTGACAATATACATCCTTCTCATACTCCTTTTCCTATTCTAAACCAATCAGTCGTTCCATGTCCGATTCTAACTGTCGCTTCTTGACCCTTATACAAGTTTCTCAGGAGACATGGTACTCCCATCTCTTTAAGGACTTGCCACAATTTGTTGTGATAGAGCTTTAGACAATTACGCATGGGGTGGAGAGAGTTGACAAAGATAATTTTTTCTCCCTCTCCCAAAATACAAGAACTCAAAGGCATCAAATGAAGCTGATGGGCAGTAGATTCAGGACAGACAAAAGGAAATATTTCTTTACACAGAGAGTGATTAAAATGTGGAATTCATTGATAGAGAATGTAGTGATGGCCACAGGAAGGGCCAGCTTCAAACAGGGATTAGATAGATTCATGAAGGATAAGTCTATCAATGGCTACTAGCCATGATGACTGAGGGGAACCTCCATGTTCAGAGGCAGTCAACTTCTGAATCCCAGTGCCGGGAGGCAACATCAAGCGAAGGTCTCAGCCTCTATGCCCAGATGAACTGGTTGGCCACTGTGTGAGACAGGATGCTAGACAAGATAGGCCACTGGTCTGATCCAGCAGGGCTTTTCTTATATTCTTATGTGCCCCTCTTCCTGCCCCACACTGTGTTGGTGACAACAATAGAGCACATTACAAGCTTAGATAGAGCTGGTAAGCCAGAGTTGTTCTTCAGCTGCATGGCTCAGTTTTATTTTTGATGGGAACTTTGCCTACCAGGAAAATCACCACTGAAGGGGAAGTGAAGTAATATTTATAACTGGCAAAGTAGAGCATTTCCATGAAGCATGTGTCATATGCTTGGCTACTGCAAGATGTGTGACTGAAAACAGCTGGATTAAGATACATTAAAAACAGAAACTACTTTTGATAGTGTGGTTTTAGGATTTTTTAAACACATGCTTTATTGTGCAATTCTTTGAAACCAAATGCATTTGTCTAATAATCATGGTCCAAACCTCAGCTGCCTGTCAAATCATTTTTTTGTGTCCTAGGTTACAACACTGGATTTGGGCTTTAGGAAACCTGGATTCAAATCCCTGCTCAGTTCCCAGGGCTGATTCACACATAGCATTCACCTCAATCTAAACATGCAACTATTCGAAAGTGTCACTGAAAACAGTGAGACTTACCAATGACAGTGAACTTGGGAAAGTGTCTCTCTTCCAAAATGAATGTAGAAATTTAGATACATGATAGAAAGACCTACAAAACCAAGCCTAGGGAAAGCAAGTCTAGGCAACTTGCTTAATCTGAGCCAGGGCAGGTCCCAGCAAAGTACTTTCTACGGTTTGTGTAATAAAGAAAACACCTCTGCGAATGTGAAAAATGTATTTTCTTGACAGTTGAATAACCTTAGCCTACCCAATCTGGATTTAAATGGTAGGCTTTGTTTAGCGTTTGATTCTCAGGCAGGCATGATGAACCCCAGCACTTCTCATTTTAAAAACCATAGCAGTCTTCCAACAGGGCGCTTTTTAGGACCTCTTTCCGCTAGCATTTAGGAGTACTTAGTCTTCTTGGACATATATACCTTCAGATCCGGCACTTCTTGCCAGCAGAGTTTTCAGTCGTTCCCCTTGGGGAGCCACGCGCTTCGCTCTTCCTGTGCTTCCCGCCCATTTTCTTTCTGCCTGTTTGGGCGTGAAAGCGCCGGCTGCCCTCCTGCCCACTGTCTCGCCCCACTGAAGGGCTTTCCCTCTCATCGACCAAAACGCAGGAAAGCGAACACGTGCGCGGCCGGTCCGAGTGCCTCGGCCTGGGCCGGATCGTCGTCGCGCGGTGCAGGGAGGGGAGGTGGACGGCGCGGCGGGAGGGGGGCCGCGGGAGAGTCACTCGCCCTTTCGGGGTTTCGGCGCGGCGGGGTGTGCCGCCTGGTCCCTGCGGCACCGGGGGGCTTCTGCTTTTCGGGGCTGCGCAGAGAGCTGTCAGTCAGGGAACGGTCCCAGCCCAGGGTGATGTCAGTGGATCAGCTGCTCTATAACAAAGCGGGGAGAGGCGAGTGTGGGGAGACAGAGCGGCGACAGAGGCGCTCGCTAGCGTGCGCGGCGGCAGTGGCGGCGGCGGCAGCTCCGCGCCTGCCTGCTCGGCGAGCTGTAGGGGGAGACAACGGCGGGCGGCGGACAGTGACGAGGAGACGTTGGAAGAGACCGTCGAGGGTAATTGCCTCCCGGTTGGGCCCGGGCGCAGCGCCTTCGGGGGCGAGGGAAGGGGCGGCGGCCCCTCGCCGGGCAGGGAAGTTAAGCTGGGGCGTCTGCCTGCTCCGGCAGCTCCAAGCTGGGGCTGCGTCGAGGAGCCCCTCCCGCACCGGGGGAGTTTTGGGTGTGTGTTTTGGGGAGGGTGAAAATATGGTGGCTACTTTCCCGCCTCCTTTCGCTTTGGCTCCCAGGGGGCCGCGTGGGGAGGGCGGCCAAGCGCCTGAGGCGCGGGATCCCTCGGGGGGAGGCTCTGGCCGACGGGAAGTTGGCTCGCGGGGAGGGGGCGCGTGGCGCGGCCTGGCCTGCCGTTTCGGAGACAGCTCCGACCCACCTCCTTCCCCAGTAAGCCCGGCCAGAAATAGGGGCCCCACACCGACGGAGGGTGGGATTGCCTCGTCTCCTCCTGCATCTACAGTTTTGCCCTCCCCCCTCCTTCCACCCGCATCTCTTTCCTGGGCCGAGCCTTTGGGAGGATGGGAGCGAAGAACGGGCTTGGGATGTCCGAGAACCTTAAACTAAGTCCAAGTTAACTCAAGAGTAAGTTCTGCTGAGCCTTCCTTCCGGGTACATATGTTTGGGGACAGTGATGGCAACAGTGAGCTTCAAAACTCAGAGCGCATCTTAAAAACGTGCGTCTCTCTGACTTCGCTCAAGAGCCAGAATAGTCATGTTGTCAGAAATGTTTTCAGCAACCATGACTGATGAGGAGAAGCTTAATGAAAGTTGATGTTATCACCGCTTGATGTATTGAATTGGTCTTTACAAATGTGAAAAAGATGCATGATCAAAATTGCAACCCTTGGAAGTCTTCTGCTCTCTTAATTTCCTCCCCACCCCCCTTTTGGTTTGACTATATTGATGTGCCAGAAACATCTTTTTGCTGTAGCTTTTAGCATCAGTGGACATTTCTAGAAGAAAATAATATTGAGCTTGGCCTCTTGATTGCTGTGGCTCAGTCGGTCCTCTATTACATGAGGAATGATAATGTAAGGACATGTAGATCTTAACAGGACTTGAGTGTGGGAAATAGTTGTGTTCAAGTGCCCATTAAGGTTTGGAAGAGGGAGCTTCCAGCTGAGCTAAAAGAGGAGTGGGCAGGTGTGTGTCTGTGAAAATACAGTTCTCTGATGCTCGAACAGGAAGAGACAGAGAGAGAAAAGCAGAGTTTGAGTTGGCTGAAGCAACTTGGATCTCTTTCTCTGGGGATCTGATGTGGGATAGCAGGTCTGCTGCCCTGTAGGAGTGCCAGTTTGCTTCCATCTGTACTCCTGTACCTGTAAAAATAAAGCAACCGCTATAAAAGCAGTTCTCTCTCCCACAAAGAACACTACCAGCCCAGGTAAGCACTCCCCCAGCAACTTATCACCACTCAGGGAGCATAACATTTGTACCACTCTAAAAATGTTTTTGCACAGCCTAGAGAGAGATGCTTGCCACTTTTATCCTTTAGGTTTTCCTCCCTGAAAAACATAGTTTCTTGCTTTTGGGTATGTAATTTTAAATGTTGCTCCCAGAAAGAATACTATGATGCATTTGTTGTGAAGTCATCCAAATTGTACCAGCAGAACTGATAGAATGGGCACAGCGATTATAATACATTGTTAGCATGAAATATGTTTTACCCTGGGTTGTAAATTATTAACTGAATATGAGACAATTGCAAATCTGTTACTCTGTAATTTGGACATAACTGTCCAGAGCCAAAACTTTCCCTCTTTCGTCCAGTATGAACTATGGCTCTTTAGCTGCTGCTGACTTCGTTCCTGATGTGACTGTGTTCAAATACTACCTTCTATTTGAAGGAGTAACTCCTCATTTATTGTACTCTATTCCTGCCCATAGTTAACTGTTGACACTTCCCTAAGCACAACAGGATTGCAGCTGTACACAAGCCTTTTTTATACAACACGTCTGTGGAAGCTGAACGTGCATGATGGGGGAAGGAAGATTCTGCATCCACCTGCATGTGTTCACTCTCCATGGATGTGCTGCAGGAAAATAATTGTCTCGTAGTGTAAACTATTTTGGAATCTTTTCATGTATTTGAAATGGGAAATTATTTTCCAGGGGCAAGCATCAGTAAAGACAACTGGAATTATGGTGTGCAACTAATGGTTAGGTAATGGGAGTGACAGACAACTGTTGCATAATGGAAGCAAAAAATGATGGTATTTCTCCAAGCACTAAATAGATGAATTTATTTATTTATTTCAATTTGTATCCTGCCTTTCCTGCCATGGCAAGCTCAGGGCAGCTAGCATTAAAAGTTAAAAAACAATAAAACAACAATTCATTTCATACAAATTATCTTAAAATTCATACTCGTTACAAATAGCAAATCACAAATAAATACAATTAAGAGCAGTTAAAGTGCTAGTGGTGGTAGCTATGGCCATGCTGTAACAGATATTGCAAAAGTGTGGTCAGATAAATGATACTCAAAAATGTAGAAAATACTAGGAGTGGGCACTTAGCAGTAAAAAAAAAATTGGTCAGGTATGTTTAAAGCACTGAGTTTTATTAGGACAAAAACCCCACCTTTAAACTTCAACAGGTTTGAGGCTTGTGTTGATTACAAATATATAGCAATTATTCTTTAAAAATAATGTATTGCTGTAACTTTTAAGAATCTCAGGTAAGATTTCTACAAATGTGACCCATTCATTGAACAGGTCTGCTGTTTGGCTTTTATTGTGGTGCACCAGGGTTATACAGTTTCAATTTTTTAAAATGTAGTTGAAATAGAAATAAAGCAAAGAAACATGGAGAGGATAGTCACTGTTTTCTGCATCATGATGGAGACATGACCAGTCCTAGGCCACTGTAACTTCTTGTGTTTATTTATTTAGTTAGTTAGTTAGTTTATGCCATGCCCTCCCCGCTGAGGCAGGCTCAGGGCGGCTTACGTAAAATGCATATATAAATACAATTTAAATCCATCATAAAAACAACCAAAACCCCGCTCAGCTTGGGGATGCCTGCAGAATTAACAGTTGGTCAATAACAGAAGTTTTCCTTTGATTGCAGCATGCTGTGGGGCAAGCAGCTTGCACTCTTGCCCTCACTAACAAACCATAATAAAACAAAAGAGATAAGCTTACACCTATAAAGTGCAGTTGTGGCTTTGTATATATAACAGTATTTCACCATAATCAGATCATTAGCAGTCTTTCAACCAGTGGGAGGGCGGGGTAGAAATCCAATAAATAAATAAATATTTTATCACAGTTGACTGGTGTAGCCTTTTGGATGTGTTTGAAAACTATTATTATTAATAAATGTTTTATTCCTTTGATATTAGAGTCATGAACCTTAGCAGCATGGTCTGCCTCAGGAGTCCTTCACATTTCTGGAGTTCCCCATAACCCTCTCTCTGCGTGCTTTATCAGCCAGCTTTTAGAGATGAGCAGCGGCTTGAGCTTCAGGGGATATTCCATTAGACATGAAAACTGCATTGGAAATACCTACTTGAGGTGATTGGTCACTTGAAAGTAACCTGAGAAATACTCTAAAACTGTCAATGAAGGCCAGCAAATTCTGGCATATTTGGGGCAGAGGGCCCTCAAAATGACCCAATACCTTACCATGGTAATCTTTTTCTGGCTAGGGCAGTGTTAATATAATGTATTTGGGAAATATCACAAGGGCATTATTAATAGCAAAGCTTATGCTAACCGCTATGCTTATTTTTAAAAAATGACACTGGTGAATAAAACAACATAGTAAACAGATAATGCTTTCAGACTTTTATTTTTGTTCATATTGGAAATCCACTATATTGTTTTTAGTTACATATTCGTATCCTGCTTTTCTCCCCATTGAGGACCCAAAGGGGCGTACCCAAAGTGGTCACCCTCCCATATTTTTTTTTCATAACAATTTTGCAACATACTTGTGAACTAGGTTAGGCTGAGAGAGAGTGAGTGGTTCAAGGTCACCCAGTGAGCTTCCATGGCAGAGTGGGGATTCGAACCTGGCTCTCCCAGATCCCATTTGACACTGTAACTACTGTTGTCATGGTTGCTTTCTATATATTATGTGCATTGGCTTTGACAGGATGTGTATGTGAATGGGCAGGAGACAAATAAAAACCGTCAGGTGAGCCCTGTGACTGCTTGGTTCACTCCTAACGTGCAGTTTATTTCTTGATCTTTTCTCTTGTTTGTTCAGACTGATGGGCATTTTCATTGCCTGCAGCATCTTTTGTTCTGTCCCTTCCATCTTGGCACTGTTTTTCTGCCTTTCTCTTATATTTTTCATAATTTCTTGCTTTGGGGCAAATGAACCATGTTTGACGGTGACTTTGTATTTATACTTTAACTAAAGGGCTGACACTAAGCCCATTAAAATTATTTTTAAACACATACACATTCAAATCAGAAATCAATTCAGTGAGTAAGTCCCATCAAGACTCTGTAGAACAAATGTCAGCTTCTGCTCTGCAGCGCAGGCTGATATAAAGTTACAAGTTGAGCTTTGCATGAAGACTGACAGTTGCACAATTTATGCTTCCTTAGATAGCCTGAGCAAATCATTCCTGCAAATCAGCCAAGCACCAGCGTTAACAAGTCTCTCTATTCATAAAAGAGCCAGTGCTCTTGGGCTGGCTCATAGACTCTTGAAGACAAATGTTTGAGGTGACATCAAAATGCTTAATTTAAAAATTAAAAAATGGCTTTAATTGTATCCCAAGAGTTCATAGTATCAAAACACTATTCTCTTTTCTCTGTTCATGACTATCCAAGAACCTTAATGCTGTTGCAAGGTTTCCTTTGACTTGTGGAGGTAAGGAAAGGAAAGGAAGGGGGGGGGGTGTTCCGTAAAATGACAGCTGAGTGGCACATGATAGAATTGACAGAGTTTGTTGGTGCACTGTATAGCATTATATCAGAATATTTAAGTGCTTTTTCTGTTTTCTGATGTCTAGGGGATTACAGGAGCAATCCTATGCAGTTCTGTTCAAAAGTAAATCAGATTTTATCCAGTGTGGCTTACTTCAAGGAAAGTATTCTTAGGACTGCAGCCTATGCTATATATCACTTTGGATCATGGTTGCAGCCAAATGTTCTATTCAAAAGTAAATCAGATTTTATCCAGTGTGGCTTACTTCAAGGAAAGTATTCTTAGGACTGCAGCCTATGCTATATATCACTTTGGATCATGGTTGCAGCCAAATATGAGTGGATTTAATTCAACTGATATAGCAAGATCCACTTTATCATCACAGTCCTGTGATGTTACTGTGTCATGCTTTAGTATGTTGGCTTGGGCTGCTATGAAATAAGTATAACATTTCTGAGATACATGCCCTTTCAGTTGTGGTATCTACTTTAGGTAAAGGCCTGCTGGCAGTGGTTTATAGTAGCCCCATGCCACTCTGTGTTTCAAAAATGTATAAAAGGCAGTCTTTTTACAGAGAGGGTTCGGATTGTTGCCCTGGGCTATGGATCATGGTGTTTCATTAGCAGGTGGAAATGTAGTTATGCAGTGGTCTTTCTGAATTGCATTGATTCTTTGGCTTGGATCCAGACTAGACATTATTGCAGGCTCGAGGATTTCTGCCCTCAGAGTGCATCCTAGTTCTGTAGTCGCCATATACAGAGAGAAGAAGAACTTCAGGCTCACTCAGTTGCCTGACAACTGAGTAACAAACAAGACCATAGCAGTTAATACATAACAGTGTGCTTTGAGATACTAGGCTAGTGTAAGCTGTTCCATCTCCAACAGGTAATTCACAGGTGCAGTACTTCCTTTTCTGTTCTTTATTGTCACTGGCTCAGCATAGATAATGCTGTACTATTTGCTGTGTTTACCTTTCCTGTATGAAGGGTGGGGTGGGTTTAATCCACTATATTGTTTTTAGTTACATATTCGTATCCTGCTTTTCTCCCCATTGAGGACCCAAAGGGGCGTACCCAAAGTGGTCACCCTCCCATATTTTTTTTTCATAACAATTTTGCAACATACTTGTGAACTAGGTTAGGCTGAGAGAGAGTGAGTGGTTCAAGGTCACCCAGTGAGCTTCCATGGCAGAGTGGGGATTCGAACCTGGCTCTCCCAGATCCCATTTGACACTGTAACTACTGTTGTCATGGTTGCTTTCTATATATTATGTGCATTGGCTTTGACAGGATGTGTATATGAATGGGCAGGAGACAAATAAAAACCGTCAGGTGAGCCCTGTGACTGCTTGGTTCACTCCTAACGTGCAGTTTATTTCTTGATCTTTTCTCTTGTTTGTTCAGACTGATGGGCCTTTTCATTGCCTGCAGCACCTTTTGTTCTGTCCCTTCCATCTTGGCACTGTTTTTCTGCCTTTCTCTTATATTTTTCGTAATTTCTTGCTTTGGGGCAAATGAACCATGTTTGACGGTGACTTTGTATTTATACTTTAACTAAAGGGCTGACACTAAGCCCATTAAAATTATTTTTAAACACATACACATTCAAATCAGAAATCAATTCAGTGAGTAAGTCCCATCAAGACTCTGTAGAACAAATGTCAGCTTCTGCTCTGCAGCGCAGGCTGATATAAAGTTACAAGTTGAGCTTTGCATGAAGACTGACAGTTGCACAATTTATGCTTCCTTAGATAGCCTGAGCAAATCATTCCTGCAAATCAGCCAAGCACCAGCGTTAACAAGTCTCTCTATTCATAAAAGAGGCAGTGCTCTTGGGCTGGCTCATAGACTCTTGAAGACAAATGTTTGAGGTGACATCAAAATGCTTAATTTAAAAATTAAAAAATGGCTTTAATTGTATCCCAAGAGTTCATAGTATCAAAACACTATTCTCTTTTCTCTGTTCATGACTATCCAAGAACCTTAATGCTGTTGCAAGGTTTCCTTTGACTTGTGGAGGTAAGGAAAGGAAAGGAAGGGGGGGGGGTGTTCCGTAAAATGACAGCTGAGTGGCACATGATAGAATTGACAGAGTTTGTTGGTGCACTGTATAGCATTATATCAGAATATTTAAGTGCTTTTCTGTTTTCTGATGTCTATTTATTTATTTATTTTAAGCATTTTTACCCTGCCCTCCCCGCGAGCGGGCTCAGGGCGGCTTACAAGGGGCGCAAGCCCATATATAAAACCTAGGGGATTACAGGAGCAATCCTATGCAGTTCTATTCAAAAGTAAATCAGATTTTATCCAGTGTGGCTTACTTCAAGGAAAGTATTCTTAGGACTGCAGCCTATGCTATATATCACTTTGGATCATGGTTGCAGCCAAATATGAGTGGATTTAATTCAACTGATATAGCAAGATCCACTTTATCATCACAGTCCTGTGATGTTACTGTGTCATGCTTTAGTATGTTGGCTTGGGCTGCTATGAAATAAGTATAACATTTCTGAGATACATGCCCTTTCAGTTGTGGTATCTACTTTAGGTAAAGGCCTGCTGGCAGTGGTTTATAGTAGCCCCATGCCACTCTGTGTTTCAAAAATGTATAAAAGGCAGTCTTTTTACAGAGAGGGTTCGGATTGTTGCCCTGGGCTATGGATCATGGTGTTTCATTAGCAGGTGGAAATGTAGTTATGCAGTGGTCTTTCTGAATTGCATTGATTCTTTGGCTTGGATCCAAACTAGACATTATTGCAGGCTCGAGGATTTCTGCCCTCAGAGTGCATCCTAGTTCTGTAGTCGCCATATACAGAGAGAAGAAGAACTTCAGGCTCACTCAGTTGCCTGACAACTTAGTAACAAACAAGACCATAGCAGTTAATACATAACAGTGTGCTTTGAGATACTAGGCTAGTGTAAGCTGTTCCATCTCCAACAGGTAATTCACAGGTGCAGTACTTCCTTTTCTGTTCTTTATTGTCACTGGCTCAGCATAGATAATGCTGTACTATTTGCTGTGTTTACCTTTCCTGTATGAAGGGTGGGGTGGGTTTTTTTGGCATTTTGGAGGATTAAATACCTCTCAGAAACTCACATAGGTTTCTTTAAAATGATTTCACTAGTGTACTGTAGAATAAACTATGGGTGCAATTGACAGCTGTTTTTATACATTACATAGGTCTCAGAAATTAGATGAAAGATGATCTTACAAATATAAATACAAATTCATAGGATTTAGTGTATTTACTGTATTCCTTTTCGTAGCCTGGTTTTATTATTACTTTTAGGAGCACTTGATGATGATGGGATGCCCCATGGATTTTGTACGGTCACATATTCATCCACAGACAGATTTGAGGGAAATTTTGTGCATGGAGAGAAAAATGGTCGTGGCAAGTTTTTCTTTTTTGATGGAAGGTAGGCATATTGTGATTTTCTTTAGTACTTATTTGTGTATACTCCACAGTGCTTAGAAGTTTATTCTTTGACTTCTAGTTGTCTTTTTCTGTAGGCTTTATGAAACAAAATAAATGTGACCAGTTTTGAAGTTTTATCAAAGGTGGATCACTGATAATTAGTTGTTTAATTCTACTCCTAGTCTTCTGTGAACTGCTTATTGTTTTACTGTCCTTAAAGGTAAAGTTTCCCTTGCTCAAAAGCCAATGTTAAGACGCTGAACTGCAGGCTGTGGAAGGTCAGTAGTTCAGCAGTTTGAGACCCGGGTGCCGCATGACGGAGTGAGCTCCCATCTCTAGTTCCAGCTCCTGCCAACCTAGCAGTACGAAAGCAAGAAATTGCAAGTAGATAAATAGGTACCACTTCAGTGGGAAGGTAACAGCGTTCCGTGCGCCTTGGTGTTTAGTCATGCTGGCCACATGACCGCGGAAACGTCTTCGGACAGCGCTGGCTCTTCGGCTTTGAAACCCTAGAGTCGGATTAAACTGCTTATTGTTTTACTGTCTTTGCTATAATACACTACACATGGGAATGCTTCTCATCTAAAGCAACCATGTATAGTCCTTTGAAGATGAAGGAATCAAAGTGCTGAAGATAAGTGACGATCTGTTCTGCAGGCATAGAGACTATCCCCCATCTGTAATAGCTGTCCCATTCATCTCAGTGGAAAAACTGCCCCATTCATTTCACTGGCCATTTGCCAGTATATGTGCCACATTCACATCACAGCACATGTGAGGCTTCATGTTGGGGTGCAAAATACTTTATTAATTTGGCTTGAAAATGAGTAATATGTAAATAATACATATGGCTACTTTGCACTTTCTGTTTCTCTTTGCCAGTACACTTGAAGGATATTACGTTGATGATGCTCTGCAAGGCCAGGGAGTGTACACTTACGAAGATGGAGGAGCTCTTCATGGCTCTTACATGGATGGAGAACTTAATGGGCCAGCCCAGGAATATGATGCTGATGGACGACTGATATTTAAAGGGCAATACAAGGATAATATCCGACATGGTATTTGTTGGATATACTACCCAGTAAGTCTGTTTGACTTTTTTAAAGTATATATTTTTAAATGCTTTCTTGGTGAGTCACTGATAAATGTACTCATGCAATTATGCTCTGAGTCTTCTCTAAATCAGGGCTGGGGACAGAATGGCACCTGATGCAATGCAGTGGCAAAATGTTTTGTATTGTCAGGGGAGGCTCTTGCAACAGAAGCCTTACGTTCTATGCAAGTCCTTAATACAAAGGCTGTTTGAGTCCAGGAGGCTCAGTTTCAGCCACCATTGGCCTATTGGTGTCCTAAGAACATTACACAACTGGTGAAGTGATAACTTATTATTGTTAGCAAATGACATGGTAGTATAGGATAGATTTGCCTCACGCTGAATGTTGCTTGTGCGGAAAGTGCACTGTGTCATGGTAGACATGCTTGCTGTTAGATTTGGGTCTCGTCATGAGTGAGGGATCTTTTTTAGTCTTTATTTCTCTCTTTATGACAGGAGCTTGTCTTCTTTCTAAGTGTTTAGTGAATATCTGTCTTTAATGGTTCTACATTTAAAGACAGTATAGCAGAGTTGCTTCTTGTTTTCACAGATGAATAGCTCCATTCAGGCCATTCAAGCTAGTGACACTTTGCCTAAATAAATAGTGAATAGGTTCTGTACTGACCGTGTACATGCTTTAGACATCAATCTGTTGTAACAAAATGTTCTGAACTCTGAAGCTGGAAAAACAAATTATGCTGTTTAAACTTCTACACTTTTTGCTGTCATCCCAAAAGAACAGTGATGAAACTGACTCCTGTATAAAGCAATGTAGAGAGATTAATTGTAAATACCGACTGTTGGATTTATGGATATTCCTTAAGAAATTAGGCCTGAAATCCTAAAACACGATTCTGGAAGTAAGCCTAATTGAATAAAATGGGACTTAATTCTGAGTAGACTTGCTTAGGATTGTTTTTTAATAATTTTCTTAGTAGCCATATATAGGAATGTTTTAATCTTGTTTGCAAATATATATTTGTCATTTGGGGTGGCAAGATTCAATGCGTGGCAAAATCAATAGGCTCCGTGAAGTGCCACTCAAAAATGGGTCCCTGGCCACTAGCTGCATTCCCTTCGTCCCGCCCATATACGCGCCACGCAGCCTCTTGGCCTCAGTGTCCTGGGAGTTGATGGAGGGGCCGGATGCTCGCTGATGCTCCACAGAGGTTGCTGGCCAGCCTGGAGGACGCTGGCCCAGGTGGCGCGGAAGCCCCAGTGGGGGTCAGCCGATGGCCCCGCGTCGTCCTCTGTGATGGAGCCAAAGACAGCAGCGGCACTCTTTCACTCCTCCGTCTCCCTCATGGAGAGCCCTGAGGAGGACGAGGCCACCGCCTCTTCCCTCCAGGCCGAGCCGCTCACACAGCCCCCATCCACTCCCAGAAGCACTCCACGGGGTGACGGCGCAGGGCCCCGGTGGACTCACAAGTGGCTGAGGACCATTGTGGTGGCGGAGCAGTGGCGGCTGCTATGCCAGGAGCAAGTGCCTCCGCCGCCTGACCTGTCATCGCAAACAGCTGGGAGGCCTCCAGGAGGGCTGGGTGGTGTGGGCCATGCCCTTCCCCACTGCGCCGCCCATCAGCAGCCCGTCTTCACCCCCGGCTTCTAAAGCCGCTGGGGGGGCCGGGTTGTTTGCAGCCTCTCCGCTGGCGTGCTGGCCCATCTCCCCCTTCCCCGGTCCGGAGACGCTGGGAGGGCTGGGTGGTGTCCAGACTCTCCGTCCCCAGTGCACCCGCCGTCTGGAGCTGCTGGGACGGCCGGGTGGCATGCGGCCTCTCCTTTGCCACCGTGCCAGCCTTCTTTCCCCCCCCCACCTTCTGCACCCGCTGTGAGGGCCGGGTGGCATGTGCCCTCTCCTGCTCTGCCTGTCACCGGCCTCTCTTCACCACCACCACCCCGCCTTTTAGATAGCTATCGGCAGGGCGGATGCGGGCCTCGGTTGCAGGTGGAAGCAAACTCCCAGACCCTCTCCCTAGAGCTTGTTGCATTCCTTTCTGCAATGGGCCTCAATCATTAGTAGTATATATATTTCTCCAATGATATGGAACCCTATGATGATAGTCATGAATTAAACCGATATTGTAGAAAGAGAGCCTAACAAGGCTCATGGCTTGTTTGACTTTTATCTTTCTGGTGCAAAAACTAGCATGACATCCTAAGCAGAGTTACATTCTTCTCAATCCATTGCAGTCCATAGCCTTTGAAGGGTGTAACCCTAGTTCAGGCCTTTGGTATATGAACTGATTTTTTAAATAGTAGAAATATGACAAGTGGGAACCTGTGAGACTCATGGGGGGAGAGATGGGACTCCCCCATCACACACTCATGCCGAGCCCTGCGTGACCCTTGGACTCTTCAGCAGCTGCTGCCAGGTACCTGGGCTGTGCTGCTGCTGTGCCCAGCACAGCTCCTGGGCTGCTCTAATGGCACACCCATTGTGGGGCTGCAGGGCAGCTGCTGCCAGGCCCAATGTGGCTCCCAGGTCCTCTGGGAGCCCCTTCCAGGCCCAGCATGGCTCCTGGGCTGTGCCGCCAATGGCAGCATGCCCAGTTCAGCTCTCGGGCTGCATCAGTGATGGCATGACCAGCACGGTTTCTAGGTTTCATGGCTGCTTCCAGGCCCAGCACAGCTGCCAGACTGCATGGCCACTGTCAGACCCAGCATGTAGCCCTGGGCTGTGCAGCTGCCATTGACAACTGGTGGTGTTTTACTTGGGGGAGATTTAACACCCCCCATGCTTTTTAAAAAAATTGTCAAATTTTTCTGCAAACCTGGGGAGTGCCACAAGTTTGCTGGAAAATCTTTGTAGGCTCCATATGGCTCCAGTCCACAGAATTAGCTATCTTCAGATGGGGGCCATGGGTAGCTAATAGTATATAGATGCTTAGCCTCCTTGACTTTCAGTATTTGGTGAAACCAAATTGTTTGATGTGTTTGCTTTGTTTTAGTAGAAATTGTATGGATAAATGACATGCAGACTATAATGACATGATGAGAGATGGATGATGAGAGACATCCTGGGACAACAGTGGGGTCTGGGAACACTTCAGGGTCAAGTGAAATTAACTTCTACTTGGCACCTGTGGAATCAAAATATTGTGTAGATATTTATTATAGAAACTGTTAACTTTATAACTGACAGGGTCATAGCATTATAAGAGAACAATGTTTTCCCTAAATACATACTTAAATTCTTGTTCCAACCTTACGATTCTCTTTCAGGATGGTGGGTATCTGGTTGGAGAAGTCAATGAAGAAGGAGAGATGACTGGAGAGAAGATAGCCTATGTGTACCCTGATGGGAAGACGGCCTATTATGGGCACTTCATAGATGGTGAAATGTTGGAAGCAAAGTTGGCAAATCTTTTATCCATAGAAGAGGGAAAGCCGCAATTTGAAGTAGTGCCAGGCAGTAAGTTCCCACCAGAGTTTTTTGTACCATTGCATTTGTACTATTGCATACCATGATATGTGTACACTATGCTCAACACATCCTTCAAGGGAAAATGTTTCTCTGTTTAAACAAAGAATTTGCAAGGATTTTCTTAACAATGACTTGAAAACCTGGATAGACGGATTTTATTTTTTCCTGTGGAACTAAAAAAACTGAGTGCACAGGGTTCAGAGGAAGTCTCCCATTCAGTTTCAGTAAGGTTATTGTGTCATGTGCCTTCAGATCATACCTTCAGACCACGCTTATGCAGAATGAATGCTTGCCACTATAAAGTGTGGCGATTTAGAACCACCCCAATTTTGTATTTTGTACTTGTGTATGATTAACCTGGGTACAAAGTATGTATGCCTTGTACAGAGTTGACTTTTGGTTCACTTACCACTTTTCTTGATAAAATATATGGAACGGGGTACTACATCCTTTGCAAATTGTAGCTTCTATAACAGTCGTTCATAATGCTTATATTTTTGCAAAATGTAAGATGAGAAGCTGTCAGCAGGATGGTACCTTAAGAGTTTTCTCTGCTCATTTTAAGCTTTGTTAATTATAAACGTTTACCTATGGATATACACAATGAGTACCACCATAGGGTTCTATTTCTGTTGATGTTTCTGCAAAATATAATCTAACATAGATCAAGAACACATAGTATTTCTCAAACCTTTTCATCTCTGTCCAGCCTTCTAAACTTGCTCTGCTTTCTGGGCTCCACTTAATCCAGTGCCAACATTTTGTTGGGCAGGTAAATGTGTAGCTCTTTTGTCATGCTTCTGCTGATGAATCCTGGTTTATGTTCTTCTTCCTTCATTCTTTTATTTGTTTAGAAAATTTGTATGCTGCCTCTCTAGACCTGCTCAAAGCAGCTTACACCTAAAGCAATAAAATAAAACCAAGCTAGGAATTCAAATAACTCAATAAAAATGTTCACATCAATAAAAAGCCAAACCAATAAAATATATAATTAAGAACGTGATAATAAAAGCAAGCTGGGACATTATAGCACATTAAACAAATAGAACAATCTAAAATAAAATTGACAAAATTGTCCTCAAAGTATGAACAGCCCAAAAAACAGCTTAAAAAGATGGAACCCTTAGTTAAAACCCTGAGTAAATAGAAATGTTTTGGACCAATACCTGAAGGAAAAGAGTGTAAGAGTTTGGGGGGGGGGGCGTTCTGAAGGCAAGATGCCACCACTGAAAAAGCCCTGACTGTGGTTGCCCCAACCTAACTCTGCAGGTAGAGGCACAAAGAGTAGGGTTTGAGAAGAGTACCTAAACTGGACAGTATGGGAAGAGATGGTCCCTCAAGTACCCTGGCACCAAGACATTCTTCTTGTCTTACATTATATAACTGCACACAGGACTGGAAAGAGGAAGAGAATGGTAGGTCCTGGAAGAGACAGAGAGAGTGCAGCTTGCTTTGTAGTAGCAGTGCTTATGGATTGCTCGTAGAATCCCACTTGCTGCAGGTATTTTGAGAGGCCTTTTCTCTCAGTTTGAGAACCTAGGGTATACAATAAGAGAATGCAGGATTACAAAGTAAAATGGTTGTTGTTTCAGAGCTGCTGAAAAAATGCTTACAGGGCAGCTTACTCTGAAAATAGAACATAACTACATTCTAGAAAAGGCTGATTGTATTCAGACTATAGACCCGTTTTTAAAAAAAATTGGTTTCCAAGGAAAACATGTCCTATCCATCTTCAAACATCTAGCTTTCTTACTTGCCTGTTCTACATGCATTTTTTCATGAAGTTAAAAAAGGCTTACTTTAAAAGGGCAGATATAAATTTCATATGTACCCCCAGTTTAATATTAAAAATTTCAAAATAATAGAAATAATGTGTAAAAATGTTTGTCTTGAAATTTCCTTTTGAGCTTTTTTGTTGTTTGTTTTTAATTACTAAACTAATGCAACAGAACTTAAAAAATTATTTGCGACTTCACTGCTCCCATCTTAAATATTTCTGAAGAATCTGTAAATCCAACCCCCATTAACTTTAGCACTCATTACTATTTTTGATCATTTTGATAAGAATAAAGCTCTGATTAGTGGGTGATGGGAGGAGAAGAGGTAGTGCTTTTGCAACACTTCTAGGCAAAATTGGCCAGTTACGTTCTATTTAAATAAGTTAGGAAACATTGGGCTGGATCATAAACCTTGATTCCTCTTGGTCCTGCACTGCAGCGTGCATATTCCTCAGATGCTAGGCATTTCTTTTCATTCAAGATCAATGTCTTTCAATAAGCTGCAGTGTGCCTAGAGGAAGAGTAACAGGCTACACAGCAGAAGAACACCTTCACAATGGACAAAGGAAGATGAGTGGAAACTCATCCAAGCCATTATTTCTAAGTTGGGTAAACCTGGACTAATCTTGATAACAAAATGATACATTTGGCCACTATTTGTAGTTGCAGAGAGAAGTGAAAAAGGTGGAATAATTGGATGCAAGTTTAATTAGCTATTAAAACAACCCTAAGTAAAATATCTCCGTTTGCTTTTTTTACAAATAAAATTTCCTTGTGGTTGTATTGAATGCATAACCCTTTAAAAAAATGCTTGAATTTTAATATTATCCATTAATTCCTTTACTGGTTTTGTTTTTAGGCCCAGTGTACAGTTTTGATAAATCTACTTCATCCTGCATTTCTACAAATGCTCTTCTTCCTGATCCTTATGAATCAGAGAGGTAGAATCACTTTATTGTATAAATGAAACTTTCACCTTGCTTAAATATTTTCAAGAAACTTTGGTTGGTCTGCTTGCATGTTGGTTCACCATCCTATGACCTTTTATTCTTTGAATGGTGAACAAGATTGCTTGTGATGGTGCTTGTAAGATCTGCTCTTTAACTTGAATGATGTTTTCCGTGGCTCAGTTGAATTGAAATGTTTTCCTTAATGACTTTAAAGATGTGTGATTGTAGCAGACAACCTTTTCCTCTTGAAAGCAGTTTTAAGGAACTTTTAAATATAGAAGAACTTAACAGCAAGACTTAGCACCAGTTCAGACATCATGAACAAACTGGAATTATTTGTGACAGACATGAAACTGGTAAATTGTTGGGCTCACCTTCTTCCTCCTCCTCTTATTGAAGACTGAAGTGTTCAGAAAACTCTATTTGGTTGTGACCTCCAAATGTAGATATCTTAACTCACTGTTACCCATTTCTGTCCCCATAATAGGAATTCTTATCTGGAATTAAGAATCCTAGGAACTGAGATAGAAACTAATCTCAGTTAAGAAAGGTATACCATATCTGGACATCACAACTTACTGGATTTTATATTGGCTTGCCATGTAAAAGGAGAGGGAGAGGGAAGAAGTCCAGCAATTTAATCAGGGTTGTGCCTGTGACAGATTATGCGTTTATCATGAGTTGGCCGTGGCCTGGTAAAACATGCTCCCAATCAGGGTCCTTCGGGATTTATTGCAATCCCACAGGGTCTGTAAAATGGAGCTGTTATGCCAGGCTTTTGGTCGAGTCATCTGACATCAAAGAACTTGGCCTCCCCTGCTTTAAGTGACCCATGGCACTATTCACATCAGGGGCACCATGAGTGACTGACCTATTCTAGTTAGAGCATGTCCATACCCTCTGGCATGAGCTCAGCCTGCACTGAAATAATAAGCCATTTGCTGAGCGGCCAGCAGGTATTTCAATCAGATAATTAAATTTTGTTACTGATAATGTTCTAATAAACTGTTGTAATTAATCTAATGTATGGTTTCATTGTTGAATTATATGTTGTGAGCCACCCTGAACCCACTTGCAGGGTACAGCAGGATAAAAATCCCAAAAATAAAAATAAATAAAAATAGATGTATGGCCTCCCACCAACCAGTATGAAGAGTCAAGAAACCAAAGCATTCAGGCACAGAATTCAGGGGATGCAGCATTTTGTAAGCTGGTACAACTCCCTTTTAATGCAGAAACCTCTGTCATATTTAACATCTGTACTGGCATATTTCCTCTGGTTTAATTTTATTTTCCTTTCTGGCTTAAGTAGTCCCTTTGACTAATCAGTGTAAAGAAAGCATGCTTTTCTGTATGTGTATTATAAAAATTACACCCTGGAGAGACAGGAGAATAAAATGTTATGTTTCCGTACAGAGCTGTAATTGACTGGTACTTAACTGTGCTACATCCTAATTTAGATCCAGTTTATTTTACTTAGAAATCTTTTAAATATATTTGTATTTGCTCTGACATTTATTTTTCCATTTTTTCTCTCTGCCATTTTGAAATATAATGTAAAATTGGACCTAAATTTCCCACCAAGTAAGTAAGTGAGCTTCCATTTGTGGATGATTATGCACTTAACATGAGGGAACATTAGGATCTAGTCCATTATACTTCAGAAAATTGCTGATGAGTCCTCTGTATACTATCAGCGTTTTTGTTTGTTTGTTTGTTTTATTGCTGGTAGCGTCTCAGATGTACCCAAAGTAATATAAATTGTGACAGAAATATCAGTGTATCTAGGGAATATAAACATTTAACATTTATCTTTTTGTCAGGGTATATGTGGATACATCTCTCATTTCCAGTGCTGGAGAAGGGTTGTTTAGTAAAATAGCAGCTGAAGCTGGCATAACTATGTCCTTTTACAATGGAATACGGATTACACACCAGGAGGTAAATATAGAACTTTACTGCTGTTCAAAATACACTTTGTCATAAAAACTCTCCCACTGATTGTTAACTCTGTTATACTTGGGGTACACTTCAGATGTTTCAGTATGCATAAGGCTTTAATATATATGCAGGGATTTTGTAAAATGAGTAATGAAGGACACGATATCCATTGTGGGAAGGCGCCTTCTAACTGCTACACATACAGGTGTTTATTTCACCCCCTGCACAGCCTGTGGCATGAAGGAAAGAAGACAAAGAGCCCAACCATAGGAAAAGAAAACAGATTTTTCACAAATAATGTGCTCACAACACTTTAGTTATATATTTTACAGCATTTATAAACTTTATTAAATTTCTACCCCGCCCTCCCCACGGACGGGCTCAGGGCGGCTCACAATCAAGGGCACCATGTGCCAAATACATAAAACACATAAAAACAGGATAAAACAACCATATTTTACAAAATACAGTGCTCAGTGGTGTTAATCATTCAGTCGAATCAAGATGGTGCCCCAGGGCTGGATTTAGACTTGCTGAGGCCCTAAGCTATACAAAACCCAGAGGCCCCCTACTGTTTTAAATTACATCAGCTGGTCTCAGAAAAATTTAAAATATATACGCCTTTTTAATATTTGAAATCATTTTTTATATTGTGTTTTTATTTGAGGCCCCAGCAGATTGCGAGGCCCTAAGCTGTAGCTTATTTAGCTTATGCGTAAATCCGGCACTGTGGTGCCCTGTGGATCTTATACACGTCCTGATTCAGCTGTGCTGATCTATCATGATACTGTGGCTCAATCTTTATAACGGGCCATCCCATTACCCCGTTGTTACCAAGAGATAGTTGGTGGTGGTGGTAGTGGTGGCTCCTAATTTATTTATATATTTTTCCACACTTTTACCCCACCCTCCCGCCAAGGCGGCTCAGGGCGGCTTACAATAATTAATACCAATATACAATTAAAACCAATTATCACAACTAATACAATGCCTTACCATAAAACATTACAGTATATTCAACCTATTGAGATTTAGCGGCCCTCCGTTATAAATTGCTAGTGCTTATGCGACATGGGCTTACAGGCCCTGCAGAACTGTGAGAGGTCCCGCAGGGCCCTGATCTCCTCTGGGAGCTCATTCCACCAGGTAGGAGCCGCCACTGAAAAGGCCCTGGCCCTGGTTGCAGCAAGCCTGGCCTCCCTGGGGCCTGGAGTCACTAGCCGATGTTGGGCCCCCGACTGTAGTGCTCTCTTGTGTCTGTATGGGGAAAGGCGGCCCCTCAGGTATGCCGGACCCTGGCCATATAGGGCTTTAAAGGTAAGTACCAGCACCTTGAAGCGAATTCGGAAAGCTATTGGCAGCCAGTGCAGTGCTTTCAGCACAGGCCGGATGTGCTCCCCTCTAGAGAGACCCATCAGGAGCCTGGCCACAGCATTTTGCACTAACTGCAGCTTCCGGATTTGCGACAAAGGCTGCCCCATGTAGAGAGTGTTACAGTAGTCCAATCTCAAGGTGACTGTCGCATGGATCACTGTGGCCAGGTCATCGCGGTCGAGGAAGGGAACCAACTGCCGAATCAGCCAGAAATGGTAAATGGCTGACCTGGCAGTGGCTGCCACCTGGGCCTCCATACATAGGGAGGAATCTAGGAGCACTCCCAAACCTCCGGCGCTGGCACCAAAGGTGCCCCATCGAAGGTCAGGAGAGGGATCCCTGTCCCCAGACCACCCCGACTCAGGCACAGGACCTCTGTCTTCACCGGGTTTAGTTTCAACCGGCTTAGTCTAAGCCAACCAGCCACAACTTGCAGTGCCCAGTTCAGATCTTCTGGGCGGGAGTCCAACCGGCCTCCCAACATCTTACTCAAAATGTTTTTATTGTGTGTGTTGTTTTTAGAACTGTTTGCTTCTCGGTTTCTTTATAGAAGGAAGCCAGGGTGGTGTAGTGGTTAGAGTGTCAAACTAGCATCTGGGAGACCCAGGTTTGAATCCCCTCTCTGCCATGGAAGCTCGCTGGGTGACCTTGGGCCAATCACACACCCTCAACCTTCACTACTTCTTAGCTTTATTGTGAGGATAAAATGGAGAAGAGGATAATAATGTAAATTGATTTGGATTCCCATTGGGGAGAAATGCATGGAATAAATGAAATAAATATATTATGAGTCCTGGGAAAATATTAAGAATGACTTCTTGTACTCTAGTGCTGCCAATCCTTTTTGGGAGGTATGCCAGAAATTAGTTGAGTGGTACAATAGGGGAAAGACTTATCTATGGATGGGATTACTAAACTGAGATGGTCTTGTTTTGGACCTGACTTCCGACACACTTGCCATAAAGGCTGTCCACTATGGTATTCCGGAAAAACAGGCAAGACAAGATGGGTCTTTTCTGTGTCTTTAATTTGAGAAAACATAAACAAAGTTAACAGTGCAGTACCTTTGATTTGTGTTGAAAATTAGGTGGACAACAGGGACTGGGCTTTGAATGGAAATACAATATCCCTAGATGATGAAACAGTCATTGACGTACCGGAACCCTACAACCATGCAGCCAAATATTGTGCCTCATTAGGGCACAAGGCAAATCACTCTTTTACACCTAACTGTCATTATGAATCGTAAGTATTAAAGTTGCACTGAACGTCTGATGCTGCTTTTGAAATGTGAGGATGTTATCTAGTAGTGCAATAATATGGTAACAGGTGATCTAAGGACCAAACAGAGACACCAAGAGAAATCCAAAGATGCAAATCGCTGGTGGAAAAGTCCACTATCCAGGGTGTCCTCTGGGACTCCCTTGTGATTGAAGGGGAAACTCCAGGGCCAGTCCAAAATGTTTCACTCTCCCAAAGGGCACAATCCAAGTGTCTCTTGTAATATCACACACCAAGTGCAACACTTGGATTGTGTACACATGTTGCATCTTTGCATACTCTGCAAAATTATCCAGAGAAGCACTTTTTGGATCATGCACTGATTAATTAGTGCTCTTCAGAAGATCACTGTCTGAGCTACCTGCTTGGGCTTGTTCAGTTAAGCTGGCTTTGTGGAACCAGCCATTTAGAATCAACAGTTCTTTCATACAGGAATGGAATGACCTAAACTCTGTGTACAAGTACGTGCACGTATGTATGCTAAAATCTAATTCTCTTAATTATAGCTATATGGATGTGACTTTAGTCATGTAGCTGTTAAGCCTCTGTGAGTAGAAATGTGGGATTCTGAGGCTTTTTATGTTGCAGTGCAGAGTGTAGTGTTGCAGTAGTGAGAAAACAACACTCAGAAGCAATTGATTGCAGTAGACTTTTGTATTATCGGGGAAGGCTGAAAAGCAGAGAGAGGAGGCATGGGAATGTTTACAATATGGTTTGTGCTATCCACACTGGTAAGACATCGCTTCAATACAGGCTATCTGCTTCCTGTATAAAAGAACACTTAGGAAATAATTGCCTTAAAACGTTTATCAGTCCTATGTCAATCATTCTCTTTTTAAAAGCAAGCAGACTATTTTATAGTTAATAACCATGATTTTAAAAGAAGAAATGTCCAGATCTTCAATTAGTACCCTCAGATAACACGTTGGGTGTTGTAATTTATTTATTTATTTTGGCCATCAAGTCACAGCTGACTTATGGCGACCCCATAGGGTTTTCAAGGTAAGAGACATTCAGAAGTGGTTTGCCATTGCCTGCCTCTGTGTTGCAACCTTGGACTTCCTTGGTGGTCTCCCATCCAAATACTAAGCAGGGCCACCCCTGCTTAGCTGTTGAGATCTGATGAGATTGGACTAGCCTGGGCTATCCAGGTCAGGTGTGAAACTGGGACTATGCAGAACATTTAGAAGTGACTTCTCACCTTGGGCTGAATTTCCAGAACCATTATTCAGGTATCTGTCATAAATTTACTGGGGGAATCAACAAAATTAGTTGTCCAAATAACTGTTTTTAGAAGATCACCCTCTCACAAAAATATCCAGGGTAGCCCAGAATTGCAAAGGTGTTTTCAAGAAACATAATACATGTCTGAGACCAGACCTGTAGTGAATTCTGAACTTGGAGTTATTTATTCTTTCCCAAAGAAAACATTTGCATGCATAGGGTTGACCACTTTTAAACTGGTCCATTTAATATCTCATCTTCAGCAGTGATCAGGTGATGACATTCATGCAGCAAAAGATTCACCTGCCTGTTTCCAGATATTCTCTGCTTAGGATTGCACTTGAAAACTGTTGTCTCTTGGCGTTCAAAATCCTGAGTGCTTCCAGGAAAATCTTGTTGGGGAACACCCAATATACTATGCTAAACCAGGGAGAATTTGTGTAGGTTTAAGCTAGCAATTTAAGACTTGGTGAACCAATATAACCATGTACATTGTGTTTATAAATGTATAAAGAACTAACTTTTTAAAGAAGTGCCTTGGGTAGATTTAAAAAAAATGAAAACAGTTTTGGGCTTAGGGATGCCAGCCCAGAATTACAACTAATATCCAGACTACAGAGATCTGTTCTCCTGGAGAAAATGGCTGCTTTGGAGAGTGGACTCTATAGCATTATGCCCTGCTGAGGTCCCTGACCTCCCTAGGCTGTACCCCCAAATCTCCTGGAATTTCCCAGTGCAGAGTTGGCAACTCTGTTTGGGCTGCTTTACCCTTTTTGTGCTTGAAAGCATAACATTACATTTTTCTTTACTTCCTAGGTACGTTCATCCCCGTTTTGGGCTGATTAAATGTATTCGCACTATTAGGGCTATTGAAAAGGATGAAGAATTAACCGTGGCATATGGCTACGATCACAATCCCTCTGGACAAAATGGGCCAGAAGCACCAGAGTGGTATCGCATGGAACTGAAGGCCTTCCAGGCTGCCCAGGAAAAGTGAAATGTATACAGCTCCCTTCCTCAGCAAACTGGATCTATGCACTACTTTCATACTGAAAATGGGACAGCCAGAAATTTTTGTTCCATGGCTCTTCACTCTTTGTTAGAGAGGGATTCCTTGCATACTAACAAATTTTAACCTTTAGAGCAATTTTTAAACCTTTAGCTAGTGCTATAAAAGAACTATTTAACGTTGTACAAGACAGTGTGACTATTTGGCAATCTTCATCTAATTCTCTCATATGAAAAGATGCCAAAATTTAAGAAGTGTATAAAAAGACTGGGTTTCCCCCCTACAGTCTAGTTGTTACTGTGCAACTAAATTTTGTATAGATGCCATTTGTGATGGTACTAGAATTGTGCTGTTTTAATATTCCTGAAGATTAGTGTAATTTTAAAACTTTTGATTGACTATTACTTTAGAGCAGGTTTTTATCTTGGTGCACAGGAGTTTGGCCTTTTAAGTCCTCTCTCTAAACATTATTGCTTTCTAAAACTTGTCTCTTCTGAGTCTGCACAAAGGCTTAACCAGAAGTGCTCTATTACAGGTATGTGTGGCTGGATGGACAAAACTATTTTTGACATGTTCCTAAAAACAGCAGGGCTGGTGTAAATCACACTTTGATAATTTTTAGTTATTGATGTTGTTTTAAAAAGTTGAAACAGGAGACAGGGTAATTTATAAAGAGATGCTGCTGGCTAGAATCAGTGCAGGAGAAAGTGACTTAAAAATGAACCATGAAGTCTCTTATTTGCTTAGAACACCTGCCTCTGAATGATCATGTTGTTTCCAGGAATACTGAGAATGAAATACATACCTCGGGAGAGGGGGAGGCTTATTTGGTGTGCAAGGACAAAGTCATGACAGGAGAGCATTGCACTTTGGAGCTGCTTTTATTGCATAGGACATGGTATAATAAAGAAAATTAAGAGTTATGTTGAAAGGTTAGAGGCAAACCCCTGAATTGGTACAGTAAAGCAGAGCATTCTGTGTATATTTAATTATATTTTACAATTCTTAACTAGCATTTATCAGTGATTTACTTAAAACAGTATCATTATAGATTAATAACTTTTCAGTGGCCTGTAATCCTGTAATTTAGCTTTTAAACAGCTTTCTAAATATTTGCAATGCAATATTAAATCATTTGCTGTGTAATTCATGTACCAGGAGTATTGCATGTATGCCACTAGAAGAAACTTTTTTATTCTTAGTTTTTCCTGTAGAAATAGATTTTAGATCTTTTTAAAAAACCATATACTTGTTATTGGGATTAAAACCACCCAAGCAGGCGTAAAGTTCAGATACAAAAAAGGTCATTTTTTTAATGTTCTAGGGTAGATTTTAAAGAACAATATGCAAAAGGTTGTATATGGTATCAGACAACCATCAGTGTAATTCTGTTATCTTGCTATTAATGGAATATACTGATAAAGCCTTATTTATTTTCAGCTTTTTTTAAAAAAGCATATTAATCACAGAAACTTTTCTGATTGCTGTTATTTAGTCGTGCACAGAAGAGTAACTTTTGATTGTCATGTCTGCCTGAGATTTCCTGGCAAAAAAGCTATGGATGAGGGTTTGGTCAGTATTCTGATTTTTCACATTGGTGACTCTAGCCACAACCCTACTGCTTCTTCAAGTACGGGAGAAGGTGTACACAGTTGAGATTTTATTGATTCAGCTGCGTTTACTGAGTCTGATCTGAATTCTTGCTAATGGAAGTGAGCTACAAAAGGCTGAAATGCTAGTTCTGCTTCTGCAAGTTGGTAGACACAAAAAGTTACCTATAACTTCTTTCTTGTATATAAGAATTTAAGCACACCACCAGTGAAGTTGCTTTAAGTTTACAAATATGTCTGTAGAAACATACTACTGACTTTGATATTGATTGGTGAAATTGAGTTTGCCCGCATGCATCCCTTTAAGAGAGTACTTCTGGGGTTTAAGGTCAGAGTCCTAAACAAATTTATGATGGGACTTGCTTCTGATGAATGTGCTTAGAATCACTCTACCTAACTAATATTATAGCAGATGCTGTCTGTAGGTTGCTGATGTGGAAATAATAGAATCACTCCTCATAATGCTTTGTGTTCTCTCAAGGGCTGTTTCCATATGGCAACTTTCTTACTAGATCACTATTATGTTATAATAATTGTTGCAACACTCAGCTAGTTCCTCCGAACTCCCAGCTTTACAAATAAATAGAATTAAATCTCTAGCCCTAATTCAGAGGAACTCCTACATTGTTGGAATAGATTAGTATAACATTATAACAATCTAGCAATGACCTATTTTGTTAAAAAAAAAAAGCTGCAAGCAGCCCTTCAGTGGCATGGTGGGGGGGACATGGTGACAACAAGGGACAGTAGGGAAGGAAGCAGATGCCCAATGTGTGTGTGGGACGTTGGTAATACACACTTTCCCTGGCAGACCATCTGATAATGTGCTTGGACCTGTTCTCAAAAAGATCAGAGAAAGGCCTGAGAGAAGGCATACTGGGGGTGGGGGAAGGATGATTAGAGCCTGATTAGACTTTGGGTGAATGTTCCAAAAGAAAGTGCTTCAGTGTGGAAGCTGAAGCAGAAGAAAAACATGTGGAACCAGCCTAGCCAAAAAAGGATGTTTTTTTCCTCACTAGGTGGCAGTAGGCAAGTCAATCTTTCTCAGATTAACTCGCCCCAGAGTTGTGAGGATAAAATGGGAAGGGAAACAGTGTGCTCTTAAAGCTGAATAGTGTCCCAGATTAAGCATTTCTCTTTTCTATTTTGTAATTTATTGTATTACCTAAATCTTTCTCCTCTCTTTGGTAGCTTTCTTGAACTGGTAGTGGGCAGTGTTAAAAAGAAAGTTTGGACTAGAATATGCCATGTCTTTGTTATCCAAGGGAAGTTCTGGATTTGAGAGTTCCATCAGTTGGGATATTTCTGAAAAAGAACTAGATTCGAGTTCAGTAGCACTTTAGAGACCAACAAGGTTTTCAGGATAATCTCAGGTGCTACTGGACTCGAATCTAGCTCTTTCTGAAAATAACTAGGATATTTTGGAAATTATTCTGAAATTAAGTGCAGTAATGTAGTCCTAGAGCAGACTTTTTTAAAAAATCCTCTTTTATTTGACTAAACTTGCTCATGAAAAAATTCACCCTCCCATGACTGGGAGAACTACTTTGGACCTTCCTTACCCTTTGGCCCTTGAAGACAAGTTCCAAGCAAGGGGAATGCATGGCATAGGACTGGGTGAACACAGGCAGAAATTAAGAAAGATATAAGAAGAACACTGTTCTGAGTCCTCTATTTCAGTACAGCCGTCTCCCTTTCATTTTCAGAATTATTTTTCTGCAAAGCAGTTTCCGGGAGGTGTACAGATTCTTAAAGTAGAATCCTAAATAGTTTGTTGTGGCACATAAACTACTTTTAACTTGCAGTAACCTTTTTATTTGAAAAATGGTAGCAGCCGTTTTTAATATTCGGTTGTGCTATTTCAATAACTGTGTCATCTACACCACCCTACATCAACCTTATCTGAACTGTCAAAAAGTCTAGTCTAGTCTCATCTGCAAAAGCAAAGCAGACAAAAATCAGCTAGAATTAAAAATGTGGTGACTTGCAATATAGAATACAATCATTTTCATCTTTGTTCTGCAGATTTCTGCCCTATTTGATCAGTAATTGGGCAAGCACTTTATTAGAGATCACTGCAGATCTGATTTGAATAAGTTATATATACAGCAGCTACCTCCATGTTGTGGAAAGCCCAACAGAGGAAATACCAGAACCTTTAGTAATTTTTAACCTCTCTTAGTGTTTTGTGCTGTGTTTCAGACTAGTTTCACATGAGATCACATATGATGGCTTTGTGGCTTGGCTCTTGTGAGCATAGATAGGCTACTAGAGTAAATCTAGTCATTGTAATATATGCAAGAGGCTTCACAGAAGCTAAGTAGATCTGTTTTCTGACACATGATTTTTTTTTCACAGTCACCTTGTGGCTGATGTCCTCTTTGCTTGAGTTGCATATATCTGTGGCGGTAGTAGTCAGTTGGCTTCTCTCTTTTCCTTAACATTTTCAATGGCTGTGGTTTTATATATATAGGTGTCTTCCACATGGGGACAGGATTTTGTGGTTTCCTTATTGATGGTGAAGCTGCAGATAAAGCGCAGCAGCTTCCATATTTCTGCAAAGCTTCCATATGGCAGGTTTCCATATGGCAGGTTTTCCTGCAGTTTCCCTTGCCCCAGTCCCCCAGCAGCAGCCCCCTCCAGGGGCCACTACAGCATTTGCATTTTTAAATGGGCAATAGGATATTGTTATATTGATAATACTGTTGTGACAACAGGTGTAGCAGGCTCTTTGAATTCCTAACTTTCATTACGAAAAAGTAAGTTTCTAGCCCCTTCGGTTGCAAAGGTATGCCTTTTTTCTTATATCTCTGCAAGGGAAGAGGTTAAAGGCGCTTTTAAAAATGAAAGCTGGGAATACAGAGAACCCGCTGCACCTATTACAATGGTGTGCCTATTCTGGTGCCAATTCCTAAAAAAAAAATAAAAGCCTACTGGTAGCAGGGGGAAGAAAGAGGAACTGGCTGTTATGTGGCCTGGAAAAATTGACTTTACACACCCGCAAAGTAGCCATCCAGGCTTTATTGAGATATTTCTCAAAAAGTCAAGCAAAGCAGGATTGAGAAAGATTGGAGAGAACCAGGGAAACTCTGGGAAGTGTACAAAAGTACCATGATGCTATGGGGAAGCAGGAAAAACCCCACTTCCCAAAAGCTTTGAACTTGGGGCAGATAACCAAAGTGGAAGACATCATAATCTCCTTCATTTTGCTAAAACACTTTGCCAAATGATGATGTGATCAGTTCTAAGTAAGTATCTGCAATAAGTTGAAGATTTCTTCTAGATGGTTCCTATGATGGATGCAGAATTTTGTCTTAATGGGATAAGTGTTTCTATTTGGGTTTATAGGGTACAATATACTATGCGTACTCACAAACAAGCCTGGTAGCAAATATCTAGAAATGCCTATTAAGACAGCAACGGACCTTCTCAAAAGATATACTAATGCTTCTTTGCATTTGCTTCAATGAATAAGGGGAAGTCTTATCCCCAGAGGAAAAACGAAAGAGAGAGAGAGAGACTGAGACTAAGTTAAAACTTTGGCAGGCTAAATGCTTTCTACTTTTCCACACATGAAAAGGGAAGATTACATCCCCTTTGATCACCAAAAAGGCTTATGCTGGGGATCATGGGACCCACATGGACAAAAGACAGGTGGAAATGGATTGTAATAAAGAGGGTAACTGGGTCAGATTGAGGGGAAAGCTGGCTGGATCCAATCCTATGAATTTATGTGAGTTAATGCAATCAGCATGTGGCAAAGAGTTGATACTTTCCCCCATTAGTAGAATTATTTGTGGTGGATCACTTAGAAGAGTGCCAACTTCAAAGTAGGTACAGTTGTGCAATAATACTCTGCAATCATTATGTTACTGGTAAATTGAGCCTAGCATTTATAATAGCACTAGAACTTTTATCTAGAAGTACTTACATTCTTTAGCTATTGAATAATAGGTTAGCTGCAAGATGCTTGCACAGATCAAAGGTTTTGACTATTACTGTTTCTTACTGTTATCTATTGCTGCTGTAAGATGGCCATTTCCTTCTTATATTTTTACTGACAACAACCAAAATGAACATAATATAAAGCTGCAATTTAGGAAAAAACCTGTGGTATTACCTGGTGAAAGCAATGAAACATTCAAGCCATAAAATAATGGGCATGGGGAGTGTTACTTCACAGGTTTTCATGTGTATATAAATAGATACATAAGCCAAGACTTATAAATTAATTTTATGAAAACTAAACATGAAAGCAGACAAAATACTTTACAATACATAAATTAAACTGGTGTCTTACAACAACAAAAAAGTTGGTCCAGATGTTTATATATGTATGTATACACACACACACACACACTCACACACACACATATATATATATATATAGTCATTTTACACTTCTTAAATTTATGCATATCTGATACTTTCTAACCTCTTTTTCCTACCAGTATTTGTTCAACACCAACACTGAAGTCAAATGGTAATAGTTGGGGTGCTAGATGCTAAAACAGTTGCAAGTTGTTATAATAACGTCTACTTTTCTGGGATCTGTATCTACAGATTCTGCTATGGCAGTCACATCAAATGGTGGGTTTGTTGCTGTTTAAACCTTTTCTGTGTCATATATGAAAACTGCATCTGCTTCTGTGGTTTTTTAAAAAGATCAATGCATCTATTTGTGAACATTTAAAATAAGTTTTCAAGTGGTATTTAAAATATTCTTTAGTGTCTTATTTCATGTTTCATTTTTCAAATAAGCTATTTGAAGTCTTCACAACATTCTAACTGAAGGGAATAAAAGTAAAGGGAATCTGTGCTTAGGAAGTCAGAGTGTAACAGCTTGCACCTGTAGACAGGTCATCCTTGATCTTATGTCAAGATACCAATTAGAGTGGTTTGTGCTGCACAATAACACTTCTGATGTAATGCAGGTTGTGTTGCCTTGACAAGCCATCCTAGAATTCAAAAACTGTATTACCCACAGGCCTTGCTATTGAAATCTTTTATGAATACTAGGATGGAGCACACTTCTTCAAATAAAATTACCACTGAAACAGACACTATTGTAGAAGGTGGAAAGGACAAGAAAAAGAAAATTGGAAGAAGACAAGGCTAAGAAACACCAGTCAGGATTGGTGAAATCCATATGCCAAAAAAAAGTAAAATATTTATAAAAAATAAAGTACTGACGGACATGCAAAGGGACAAAGAGATGCTGTAACTATGAGGTAGGTGCTTCAAGGCTAGATTACTCCAAAGAATTGCCAAGCTTTTAGAGGAGGGCTGTTTCAGTTGCTGGGAAGTATGTGGTAGATTGGCTTACTTCTGTTCATGGTACATTTGTGAGGGCAACTATATCCAAGGTAGCCAAAATGCACAGATTTTACTGATGGAAGCAATTTAGGCAGGAAGGAGCGTATCAGAAAATTGTTTCAAAAATATTGCAGTATTTACAGGGGATACCTACATAGTTGTCCAATCAATAATCTACTGAGTTACAAATTGATCTCATAAATTGTGTCTTAGGTGTGGCGGTGGTAAAAACCCCCAGCTAACCTGCACAGGATATTGCATAAGCAATAAGAGAGGACAAATCTAAAGCTTTAGTAGGGAAGTAATGGTGATTCAACATTCTTGGAAAGAAAAAAAATCAGAATGGAAGACATGATGAACATTTATGAAGTTACAATTCTTATGTAACAAAGTTATCTTAACAGTGACCATGTATCAGCAGTTGATTTCACAAATGGCCTTGATGTATAGAAAATGCAAGTAAGGAACTGCACAATTAAAATACAAAAAAGTCCCAAGTATGCTAGCTTATTGCAGGCATTGAAGCAACATACTTTGTTAAGCTGCTTGCTGACATTATATTTGGCACTAGCAAATACATGTAGTCCTTGAGTCCCCTTGCACAATGAAGCTATTGGATGGTCAGTTGTAGCAGGAACCGAAGGAGTCACAGCTTTTTAATTTTATTTAGACTGCTGAAATGTGCTTACAAAAATAATAACCAACAAAACCCTATGGTTGCCAGCAGTCAGGACTATTTGTACTATGCTGTGTATAAACTGCAAAGGAGATTTACTGGATTTGATTTGTACATCTTTGGTAAAACAATTAGAGTGGTTTGTGCTGCACAATAACACTTCTGATGTAATAACACAACAATGCAATCTTATTTTTCAGTTTGTGTATTAAAAAGACACTGCACGTTGGGATATAATGTAGAATGATTTATTTTATATAGTTATAC